AGTTTTAAGACCCTGCAAAGATACCCACAGAGCCCAGTGGTAGCCTCTCCCTTTGACAGAGGTGCTTCAATCATTACATTTATAGAATCAGTTGTCAGATCCGTTAGAGAACTTCATTTGGAGTCAGGTTTGGCATGGATTTGGTAACTTAATCAACTGCCACATAGACCTAAGAGAGGAAGTGATTCTGGATTTTACTCTTGTTTGGTAAAAGCCTTCTTAGGCATCTGAGCACCAGAAGGGTGCCCAAAAGAGGTCCAATTGGCCAGTCCTGTCCCTGGCTGCCTCAACCCACTACTGAGCTGCAGCATCTCCCTGGAGAGATGCCATAAGGTGACCCAGTGCTGGAAGGGTGCTCTGCACCTGGGCATACAGGAGTAGTGGGAACACTAATTAGAAACTTAATCTCCAAATCATATGTTGATGGTATTTAAAGGTAGGGCATTGGAAGGTAACTAGGTTTAGATGAGGTCACTAGGGTGATGTCGCTTGATGGAATTAGTGACTTTATAAGGAGAGAAAGAATGAATTAAGCTGGCACACTTGCTTCATGTCACCATGCAATGACCTTCCACCATGTTATGATTCACCATACTCTTGGACATTCTAGACCCCAGAACCATGAGCCAAATAAACTTATATTATTTGTAAACTCCCTGGACTCAACTATTTTGTTATAGTAATCAAAAAATGGATCAAGAGAGTTGGGGTTGTAGCTCAGTGGTACAGTGTTTGCCTTGCACACAAGAGGCTCTGGGTTCGATCCTTAGCACCACATAAATAAGTAAAGGCATTGTGTCCATATACAACTAAAAATATTTTTAAAATATAATGGACGAAGAAAGGTGGCATAATTGGCAAGGAGAGAATAGCTTGATGGAATAAAGTCACTAATTCCATCATCTAAACCTCATCTAAACCCAGTTACCTTCCAATGCCCTACCTTTAAATACCATCAACATATGATTTGGAGATTAAGTTTTTAATTAGTGCTCCCACTACTCCTGTATGCCCATGAGGCAATGAGGCAATGAGGCATACTTTATCACCATCATCATTGAGGATTGTTTGTGTACAGCAGTAATAAAAAGCAGACTGTTTTACTATTGCTTTTCATCAGTTTTACTAACGTTTTAAAGTTCCCTACAGATCATTCTCCCACTTACTGCCTGAACCCAGGGCAGATCACTCCCACCATCTCCACTGTCCTTGACAAGCCAATGCTTTATTTAAGATGTAAATATTTCAAGTGTAACTATTAAAAAAAATCAGAAGTATGTGATATAAGTTATATACAGAAAAAAATAAAATATATACTATGGAAAAATATTAACACAAGATTCAAGAAAGGAAGGGGAAATTAAGGAGCAAGAAAAATAGAAGGGTAAAAAAAATGAAGATACATCAATTATCACTAAAATAGCAAGTGAACTCCTACATTGAACTACCAATTTACAAGAAAGAGAGAAGACATAGAATTTATTCAATGACATCCATGAATAGAATTTAAAAAAAAAAAACACCTGAATCTGAAAAACTACAGGTTTTTGTTTTTTTTTTCAACACACAAAATGCAAGGAGAAAAGAGACACTGGTAGTTCCTTAAGAGAACTGTCAATCAATGGCAATGTGTGAACTCATTTGAGTCCTGATTCAATAAAGCTAAAAATACTCTGAGACAATTAGGGAAATTTGATTGCTGACTCGATGATATCAAGGAATTGTTTGTTGTGGTTTGATTATTGAACTTTTTTTAATCCTTTTTTTTCCTGTCTTAGTTCTCAATATTTATGTGATTTTTCAAACACCACTTTTAATTAAATCAGAAAGATACAAACATTCACCTACTAGCCAGACTTAGTATACACAATTTTGGAGTTTCTGAGTCAAATTTGGTCTACATGTAATTTGGAATATTCCTTCTCAAATACATTTTGTGACTCAGTAGTCATATTATCTGTTGTGTTTTTTCACACACATGATCTTATGAATCTCTTAAACTTATTTTAACACTTTGAATTATTACATGTATAGAGAAAGGTATATAAAACAAATGTACTGGTTGACCAATAGCATAACAAATCATTATAGCAGGTAATTATAAAACAAATATTCCAATTCTCACACCCAAGAAAGAGAACATTGCCAATACCTAGAAACCTCTTATTTGTTCCTAATCACAAATCTAGTTTTATCTTTTTTTAAGAAAAAGCATATGTAAACAGTAGGCATTCTGTCCTATAAAAGAATGTTGCTTTGGCTAACAGTAGGCTTGAGAGTAAGTCATTTTTTCATCCCTTTTAAAGACAAATTTTTGAAAAGGTTGTTTCCTGGGCCTTATCTTTTATCTTATAAAAGTGTAATTTGTTTCGATTTCAGAAATAGGTAAACAACTTAGATCAGGGCAGATCTAAGTTAAGTGATCAATATGTGATAACCATGATTATTATACTAACATTGTATATCAGCACAAAAAGTTAGAATGAATATTCATATTTAATTCCCACAAACTGAAGCAAAAAAAAAAAATCAAAGGAAATTTTTCAGTTAAATTTTACCATGACATTGTATATGGAATAAATATCATAACAATTTCAATTCTTCTCAGATTAATTTATAAGTTTAAAATTCAATTTGTAATGGCCAGTTTTATGTATCAACTTGACTGGGCTACAGTCCTCATTTACTCAATTAAGCACTAACCTAGGTGTTACTGTGTAGTATTTTGCAGATGTGAGTTCATAATTAGCTGACTTTAATTCCAAAAGATAATCCTACAATATCTGGGTGAGCCTGATTCAATCAACTGAAAGATCTTTAAGAGACAAACTCAGGCTTCCCTTAAAAGTGAAAACTCCATCTGTGGAGTTTTGAACCACCTCAACAGTCCCTTATCAGGTGAGTCACGAAATAAACCTCTTCCTCTATATATCCTACTGGTTCTCTTTCTTAGGATGAACCCTGACTGATGTAGATTTTGGTAGCAGTCATGAAAGAATCTTACTGAGTTTCCTGAACTGTTTCTGGTTTTCTGGAATTGGTTAACTAGTCTGGTTATATCTAAAACCACAATGAATCTATTTGCAATGTTAAAGAGGGGACTGGTAATCATGGCATGATGTGGGTGCAGAGACACCAAGGACTGCCATAAGAAATTGTGCACAGTGAACAGACTAAACTACCGAAGTGCCCCTGGAGGTTAAGTCTGAAATCAAGGTGCTGGCAGGACCACGTTCTCTTGAAGACTCCACAGGAAGGGTCCTTCCTTGACTCTTCCTAGTATCTGATGGTTGTCAGCAACCCTGGACATTTCTTAGCTTGTTGACAAGAAAGCTAAGAAACTTGTCGACAAGGAACTAGAAGAAAGGAGAAGGATGAGGTCAGGGACTTTGAATTCCCAGTTTAAGGACCACATTAATGACTTAAAAGCCTGCATTTGACCTAAAGGAAACTTTTATACCCCATTATTATATGAAACTTAATATTCTGAAAAATCAAACCCAAAATCTCATCCTACAATGTAAGTTGAACTCCCAGCCTTGCTGGGAGTCTTGATGTCAATAATAGATAATATATTAACCTTCTGGGCCGAACCTTATAAAAAAGTGTGATTTGTTTTGATTTCAGTCATCTCTCATGAAGTCAGACATTGATTGGAAAGGAGCGGAATTGTGACAATTGGAACAGAAACAGGGCCACTCCTATGGAAGCTGGGAATAGCTAACCCCCAAATTCTGCCCCGTCTTCTCTGCAGCAGCTTCAGCTCTTCCAGTTACCTGTGGAGGTTAGCCCTCCTCCACCTGAAGGACATGCGGAGGCTCCCCGGGGGCAGTTCCTTTTCCAGGGACCATACATTATCCCTGCCTCTCTCTTTGCTGGAGACTTAAAACTACATTCAAGTCCCGGCAGGCCCTGAAGGGAGAGCTACAGAATGTGACCCAGGAGGTAGTGCACTCCTCACCCAAAGAAATGTGTGACCTTCAAGCTTTATGAAAATAAATTGGGAGAGCATGCGTAGGAAGGGATCTTACACATTGTAGAAGGGACGCATTGGATCAGGCCAAATTTAGTAACACAGGTCACCTAATTAGATATCCTGGATTCAAGCCAGTTGTAGAACTACATTTTTAATTCTTATATTTGGTTAAATAATGTTTTTTTTTTTGTTTTGTTTTGTTTTTTTGTAAAACCCAAATAGGCTTAGTCCTGCCATTCTGTACGATATTCAGATCTTGATAGGAATGCCCATGTTTGGTATGTGGGGCTGCAGCTCAAGGACTATGTCATATTAGATCAATAAAATAGGGACTGTGAATCTTCCAGGGGTAATGCACACTGAAAGCATGAGGGAGGGGGAGTTTGTAAAGACAACTGAATGTTTCACTGAGGGAGGGGTTTGGTTATCATAAGGCCAGCCATAGTGTATGTTTGTTTGTGTGTGTGTGTGTGTGCTTTTTGGTTTGTTTTTGTTTTTTAATATTTTTTTAGTTATACATGGACACAATATCTTTATTTTGTTTATTTAAATTTTTATGTGGTGCTGAGGATCAAACCCAGTGTCTCACAGGTACAAGGCAAGTGCTCTACCGCTGAGCCACAATCTCAACCCTTGTTTTGTTTTGCTTTTTTTGTTTTTGTTTTTGTTTTTTTGGTACTGGGAATTGAACCCAGGGACACTCAAACTACTGAGCCACATCCTCAGCCTTTTTTTATATTTTTATTTTGAGACAGGGTCTTGCTAAGTTCCTTAGGGCTTCACTAATTTGCTGAAGCTGGTCTTGAACTTGTAATCCTCCTGCTTCCACCTGCAGAGCTGCTGGGCACAGGTGCCACTGGGCCCAGCTGGCCATAGCTTCTTATGTGACCCTTTGCTTGAGATGCTACCATTACAAGTGTTTCAAGGGTTTTCCTCAAAATAAAACATCCCTCGAGTTTCAGAACACACAAGGATTCATGTGGTCAAACAGAACACAGGAAAAAAGAATACTTTTTATGTGCATATACTTTATTAGAAAATTTGGTTATTATTACATAATAACTAAGAACAAAAAGGAAAAAAAGAAACATTTACATAGAAAAGGAAAAGTAGAACAGAGGGGGAAGTGAAGACAGTGATCACCCACCCAAGGGAGCGCTGGGAATAGTGGTCTCATTGAGCAGAGGTCAGAGGTCAGTGACTTGGGGGTCACTCAGGTACCAGGATCAGGTGTCCTGTGGCATTGAGATGGTTCCTATTAGTTTGGAAACTTTTCAGCCAGGAAGACTTCAAATACCAAGGAAAACCAGAAACACAGTCCAGGTACAGAGAGAGATTGAAGAACAGGAAGGAAAGGACGTAAGTCTTACCCAGAATGGCTGCTGGTGGAGCGGCTGGCGGCCGCCTAGCAGCAGCACTGCTTCTGGCAGCAGCACTTCTGCTGGCAGCAGCCCTTCCCACAGCCGCAGGAGCGACAGCAGGTGCGGCGGCAGCAGCACACCCTGCGGGTGCAGCAGCCACAGCAGCCACAGCAGCCACAGCAGCCACAGCAGCCACCACAGCCACCACAGCTACCACAGCCACCACAACCACCACAGCCACAGCCACCACAGCTACCGCAGCCACCGCCACCACAGCTACCACAGCCACCGCAGCCACTGCAGCCACCGCAGCCACCGCAGCCACCACAGCCTCCACAGCCACAGCAACCCATGTTGTCAGTAGAGAGGACTCAGGTGCAGAGAGGAGAGGACTCAGGAGAGGAGAGGGAGGTCTGGAGCCTCCTTCTGCTGGGGCCCCTTAAGTACCATCTTGGGAAAAGGAAAAGGGAAAGACCCAGGACTCGTGATCAGTGCTCACTTCCTTGTTGTTATTGCACTTCCCACACTAAGATTGTCTAGGGCTCTCCTTTGTTTACATCCTTACATACATTGTGAATGCATGAGAAAGCCATCTTTGAATCCTTCCCTTCTCTCAGTCCTGTATCTGTTCTCACCAAATTCTGTTTATTCTGTCTCCTTAAAAGCTGCAAAACCTATTCACACATCCATAGTTCCACAGCAACCCCACCCAGTTCAAGCAACCCCTGAGCCCTTGCAAAATCTCCCTCTGATCCAAAGACCAGGCAGGTGGACTAGGGTCACTAACCTGCTGGGTGTGGTGCTACACACCTATAGTGGACTCAGCCTCCTGGGAAGCTGAAGCAGGAAGATCACTTGAGCCTGTGAATTGGAGATTGGCCTAGGTAAAATTGCAAGATCCTGCTGAAAGAAAGAAATAAAGAGGAAAAAACCCCACGTTTTCTGGGGGTGTAGCTCAGCTGTATCATGGTAGAGCACTCGTCTAGTATGTGTGAGGGCCTGGGTTTCATCCCTAGCAACACACACACACACACCACCACCACCACCACCACCACCACCACCACCACCAATCAGCCTAAAGACTTCCAGCATTTCCTCTCACTCAATTTCTAAAAACAGTTTACCAAGCTGGGAAAACAGGCCCTGGGTAGTGAGCCTCTCACAAACAGAAGAGTAGAGGGTCTTGCCACCAAAGGTCTGAGCACTGTCCCTTGAACTCCCCCTGATTGACAGATAAGCTCCTGCATGAAGGCACCTAAGAACAGCCCGCTAGCCTTCCCATCTGTTTCCTTGTATTTTTACAGCTTCCTTGTGGATCACCAAGTGCCAAGCCCACCAGGATCCATGGGGTTGATCTTCAGTTCAAAGCCGTAAACTGCTCTCTCCCTTGTCAGCTCTTCTCCTTCCTGACCTCTGGACTGTGTGTGCCACAGACAGAGCCCAGATAGCCCAGCATCTAGAGGGTCCCGGTCAGGCTAGTTAGCAGGGAGGTATTTCTCTCACATCTCAGTTGATATCGTCCAATCAAGGACAAAAGTGTCTTCCTCACCCAAAGCAACATGTGACAGGAATTGCACCACTAACATGTAGACTTCAATAAAGATTTATTTCTACTTTTAAAACAATCCTTAAAGCCTGGGTGTGCAGAAGACAAATCACAATGGTATGCTTCAAATGAAGTGGTTAGTGAAGGAGTAAATATTCCACCAGCAGATTCCACTTCTTGATAAGGGGGTGATGGCATCTGGCCTTACTAGTGACTTTGACTCCGTTGGCTATTCCTATTCTCAGTTGCAGTGTTACTTTGTGTGTAGGCCCTGAAGTCAGGGCCTGAGCCTTAAACCTCACTCATCTGCATCTCAACAGCTCACAGCCCCTGGGCCAGGGGCTCCAGGCAATGCCTGTGGTCAGTGAGCCCTTGCCCAGAGTTCAAAAACTAGGTCCACGTTTTCCAAACCTTGTGGGAAGAGAGAGAAGGCTGCCATTACTTTGACAGCCTTGTCATGCCTCTGGATCCCAGAATGCTCCCCAGGAACCGTTAGGCCTTTTTTGTTTGTACTGGAATGTAGTTTTAAGAAACAATAAACAAGGGGCTGGGGTTGTGGCTCAGAGGTAGAGCGCTCGCCTAGCACGTAGGAGACGCTGGGTTTAATCCTCAGCACCACATAAAAATAAATAAAATAAAGGTATTGTTTCCAACTACAACTAGAAAGAAGGAAGGAAGGAAAGAAAGAAAGAAAGAAAGAAAAAGAGAAAGAAAGAGAAAAAAGGAAAGAAAGAAGCTGAGAACATAAAGAAGACAAAGACATCTGTGAAGGGAAGTAATTAAGAGCTGCTGAGATTCTTGCTTGCACATCAGAAACGAGGAAGGGGTCATATGCCCTCTTTCATCTCTCCCAGAGTTGGTACTTAAACCCCACCCCCTGCAGAAGAGAGCCCCAACTCTCCCTCTCCTCTCCTCCATCCTCCCTCCTCCCTGCACCTGAGTCCTCTCTGCTGACACCATGGGTTGCTCTGGCTGTGGAGGCTGCGGTGGCTGTGGTGGCTGTGGTGGCTGCAGCAGCTGCACCACGTGCAGATGCTACCGGGTCGGCTGCTGCTCCAACTGCTGCCCCTGCTGCCGTGGCTGCTGTGGGGGCTGCTGCAGCACCCCTGTGATGTGCTGCTGCCGCCGCACCTGCTGCCGCTCCTGTGGCTGTGGCTCCTGTGGCTGTAGCTATGGGAAGGGCTGCTGTCAGCAGAAGTGTGGCTGTAAGAAGCAGTGCTGCTGCTAGGTGGCCTTGTGCCTCTGATCCTGGGCAAGAGATGCAGGGGACTTTCCCCAGACCTCCTCACCAGCACTACCTGTCCTCCAGCATCCTGAGACTTCTCCCCCTGGCCTCTGACTTTGCTCCTACATTCTGTGTCACTGTGTGTCCACTTCGGTGTTCTCCGTCCTCCTATCAGAAGAATTTCCTATCTAACAACAAACAGCCTACACAAGGCTTGAGACAGCCCAGCTCCTAAAGGAGCCCACGTCACGTGTCCAATCCAAACAGAATGTGGCCCCACATACTTTCTGATGTATATGGTTATTTCCTTCCCATTCTTGTGCTTTTATCTTCACTTTTATCTTGTGCTTTTTCTCTCTGTATTCCTAGTAGTCAATGGCTATTTTAAATTTTTCTAGCAAAATACAAATTTATCATTAAACACTTCTCTTTATCTTTACTTTGGTGTGACCATATCCCGTATCCTAAAACATCTCAATCCTTCTTAAAAGGTCTTTGATGAGCTGGGCACACTGGCACATGCCTGTAATCCCAGCAGCTTCCCAGGCTGAGACAAGAGGACCTCAAGTTTGAGGCCAGCCTCAGCAATTTCTAGAGACCTTCAGCAACTTAGCAAGACACTATCTCAAAATTTTAAAAAAAAAATTAAAAATTAAAAGGGGTGAGGATGTAGCTCGATGGTAAAATGCCCCTGGGTTCAGTCCCCAGTACCAAAAAGATCTTTGTTGGATGACAGTGGTGGCAGAGTCATCAGTGACACTGTGAATAGCTCTCCTGCTTCTGCTGTTCATGCAATTCAGGTAGGAATGTACGCACAATACATCTGGTTATATCTGTCATCTGAGTTCAATTTTGAGGCAAGTGTTTTGGTTTCAGATGGTCAACTTCTGTGAATGCATTCAAAATCCTGTTCTGTTCACAGTTAAAAAATTCAAACAAAACTACAGAGAGACATTGCTAGGGGCATTCGCTTTTGGCCTAGAGGGAAGATTCTCAGGGATGGCTACCATTTTGCTTTGTCCCCCAACCCCATCCCTCCCACCCCCGACATAAATTCAGCCAGCCACGCACATTTAGAACCTTGGCATTATTTATTTAGCTCTTCCATCTCCCTAACTACACAATTAACGCCATCGGGTTGTGCTAAATGGGTAGGCATCAATGAAAATGGGATGGATCTGAGTTATCACTATTCTCTTGAAGCAGCCTCTAGGCTCACTACTTGTCTTCAATAGAATTACTATTTGTTTTTTGTCTGCATCAATCTAACCATACTTAGAGTACTGATAAGACTTGGTTTTCTTAAATTGTGATTTATGTTTTTGTTCATTTTTTTCTCAATTTTTGGACTAGTAAGCCTGGAGGATCCTTGATCAGTACCATAATCTGTGTTCTTTTGCCAGACTGGGGGTTGGGGGTCCTGATAGAACAACTTCTCTATAAAGGTAGGATCTATTTCTTTTATACCTAAGAGGAAACTATAGACTTTAGTTACCCTCCAATAGCTATCAGTCACACTTACGACTCACATGGAAAGACAAATGATTTATGACTCAGACCATGAGTTGTCTTTGAAAGCATTACAAATTTTCAGAAGAAAATTGGTTGCTGTCAACAAGTGTTCATTGAGAGATTCTCAGATACAAAGCCAGGTCTGGGGACCTGAGGCAAGTTCAACGATGCAGCAGACCTGCAGCTGAGTGCCTTTGGAGGGAATGGCATGCATAAAGACTCATCCTAGGCTAAGCGTGGTTACTGCTGTGGTACTCCTATCAGAGGAAGGGATGCTGTTCTCCTGAAAACACCAGAATATCTTCCAAGCACCAAGTCCACGGCTCCCCGTTCCTCATGAACATGCCAGTGTGGGTTCTCTCTGTCAAGTCCAGCCTAGTTTGAACCAGTGCTGCTGAGCGCTCCAGACTGAGGACTGTGTGGTGGCAAGGCAGGGGCTGTTCCTGTGATGAGAAGGCCAGCCAGCATGTCTGTGCCAGGAGTTTCCTCATCCCTGTGGCCTCCCATCTTCACATGGTCTTCCCTCCCTACAGGTCTGTGTCCTAATGCTTAGGGGAGCATCGGTCATACTGGAATAGGACCCATCCTAACCTCATTTTAACCTAATTGCCTCTTTTTAAGTATTACCTATCTACAGTATGTCTGGCATTTGGAATTACCACTTCAAGGATGAATTGGGATTGGAGTGCATTCAGCCCATAACAAAAGCCCATAACAAAAGCAAAGTAGAGAGACATTTTATTTTTTTCTTTTGTTTACATTTTGCAGGTGACCTATGTTTAGTCTCATGTGCCCTTTGCTCTTGTTTCTAGTAACTATTTGTACTTTTCTTTTCCATAACAAATTGTCACCTATGTAGCAGAAAGAACTGAGTCTCAGCGTCCCCAGTAGGACACAAAACCATGTCTGGAAGATGCATGTTCAACACATGGTAGTGGAGCACTGTGATGTAAATCCTGAGCTCCTCTCTGGTGGCCAGGTGCACCATGAGATAAGGGAGCCCAGCCACAAATTCCCCTCCTTGTCCTCCCTGAGTGATACCTAGTAACATTCAGAGGCACCCATGAACCCCTTCTGCCTTTTGCTTGAAAGGCTCCACCCTGACCCCCATCGACAAACCCATGGGGCTACGCTCCCTCTCCACTCCTCCCTGGCTGTCTGAGCTCTTTCCCAGTTTTTCCTCCCAGTGACCCCCTGGTGACAGGCAGTGACCTCATCCCTCCAGGACCTGTGAATGGAATGAACCCCTTCCCTGAGCCTTTCCTCTGTCTCCTCTCATGACCATGTTTGACATCTCGTTTTTAAAATAATGAAGTCCACTCATACACGTACTGGATTTTTTTTTTTCACAGATCCATGTCAACACTGGGAAGCAACACCCAAGAAATACTTACTGCCCATGTCTTCTACTTCCACTGACTGAGAACAACCTCACATTTCCAATGAGCGAGACAGGGAGAGCAGGATCCTAAGCAGAGTTGGGTCTTAGATCCTAGAGGGGACTCCATGTCTCAGACTCTTCTGATCAACATTGCTGTGTGGGAATTGAATTCAAGGAGTCCTCTCCTCCGCCTTGAGAGATGGGTGAACTGGTGCTCATCTCCTGACCCCCTCCTGAGTAAGGACAGCTACTATAGGTAGAGGCAGTTGTCAGGATGTATATGGGAGGAAGAAGTTGAATCAGAGGTGGGGACTGCAGGCAAGAACCCCAGATGCTGAGAGTAACAGAGGACCTCTGGGTAGCCTCAGGGCATGAGAGGATCAGGGCTCTGGCAGGTAAGAAAGGAAATAGAGGGAAGGCCAGGTGAGTACCCAAACATCCTTGTCAACTTGAAGTCTAGGAGGCTCATCCATCCACAAGCCGTCCTCCAACCCCATCTCCTGACTTCCACGGGAAAGAGATTAGCTTTCTGTGGACTCCTATTTGGAGGTCTTATAAGAGGTAGTTATTGAACTTTTGTTTCCTTTGTTGATGTTATTCCATTGGGTCAGTTCAGCCTGTGTAAACTCTTGTCCTGTGGCCGACTCTGCATGGAGTGACAAGAAGACACCCCACCTGGGCCTCGTTGGATTAGTACAGAAATGTCCTCCTGGGAGATATATCCAAGGAGGTTGGTTTCCCTTGGCCCCAACCTCACAGCCCCACCCCAGCTGGGGGCCCCATATGCTTCCTTTTACTCTCACTTCACTGCTAAATAAACCACAATAGTTCAGGAATCTGGAGACTACATGGAGAAAGCCCAAGAAGCAGTATTTGACATTAGGAGAAGAGGTGTTTGGGGATGTACTTTTTTGTGCAGGTGGACATTAGGGGTGGTTTGATTGTTATGATTCTAATGCTGATGTTATGCTACAACTAAAGCTGATCTTCTAGTTTGAAGCAGCTGATAAAATGGATTCCCTGGTACCTGACGTGGCTAGATCTCTGCTCAGATGTCTGGATCTTGGAGAGATGACTCAGAGGATAAGAGGCTTTGTAATGAGTGACAGTTGGTGGAAAGCACAACGTGAACTAAACAGCTAATGGACGAGAAGTGCAGCAAGACTCCAGTCCTCTGGCTACGTTGCCTTCTGGAGTGTTGTCAGCAATGAAGCCATGGCCGCCAAGATCAACATGTGGTGGAAAAGAACTCTGTGCATAGACAAATAGGGACCTTGAGGAATTATAAGTCTAAAAAGTGGCCGTGCTCTTATGTGATCTTATGATCATTTGGGGGCTGATCAATATTTTTGTACCAGACTTTAGTTGCAAAGACTCCATGAAGGGAGAGATTTGGGGACCACTTTGGTTTATGACATTGAAGTGCCAAGGTTGAGGAAGTGCCCCCACCCCTCTCTTCTCAATAAACCCACAAAATATTAATCATCCCCTAATCTGTCTGTGCCTACTGCAAGCAATTTATATCAATTTTGGCTCTTTGCACATATAGCATGGGCCTTATCTATTGAAATAAAACTCATTTTTCCCCCGTAGACAGTTTAGAGACTGGAAAGAGAGTAAGAGACGACTCTTTGAAGCTGATTTACAGTAATTTATTAAGACAAGAATTGCTTGGTATATAAAATATGCCAATGCAGTGATAAAACCAGGACATAAATAAAGACCTTTAGAGGCAGTTTAAGGAGGTATAGCATTAACTATCTTTACTGCATTGTGCTGAGGCCATGATTTGAATGGAGATTGACAGAAAAGACAGCATTTTGTTACTTTGGTTGGTGATTAGGAACTGAACAAGATCACAAGAACTATAGAAATGTGGGATGTTTTCAAGAGCAGTTGATAGGCTGAGGTCATGCTTCAGACAGAGAGGAGGAGACAGAAGGAGGAAGCTGACCCAGAGCAGTTACCTGACCCATAGCCGTTACCTGACCCATAGCCGTTACCTGCCGTACCTGCCCCCTAGCAGCAGCATTGCTTCTGACAACACATTTCTGCTGGCAACAGCCCTTCCCATAGCCACAGGAGCCACAGCCACAGGAGTGGCAGCAGGTGCAGTGGCAGCAGCACACAGGGGTGCTGCAGCAGCCCCCACAGCAGCCACGGCAGCAGGGGCAGCAGTTGGAGCAGCAGCCGACCCGGTAGCATCTGCACGTGGTGCAGCTGCTGCAACCACCACAGCCACCACAGCCACCTCAGCCACCACAGCTACCACAGCTACTGCAGCCACCACAGTCACCACAGTACCACAGCTACTGCAGCCACCACAGTCACCACAGCCACCGCAGCCACCGCAGCCACCGCAGCCACCACAGCCACCACAGCTACTGCAGCCACCACAGCCACCACAGTACCACAGCTACTGCAGCCACCACAGGAACTGCTGCAGCCACCGCAGCCTCCACAGCCACAGCAACCCGTGGTGTCAGTAGAGAGGACTCAGGTGCAGGGAGGAGGGAGGAGGGAGGAGAGGAGAGGGAGAGTAGATGCTTCTTCCTGCAAGGGTGGGGGCTTAGTACCAACTCTGGGGGCAGAATTGACCTAGAGCGTGTCACTTCCCTGTTCTTTGTTATGCAAACATCGACAGCAGAATCTCACGTGGCCTTTGTGTACTTCCCTCGTGGGGTCCTGGAAGCTTTTCCTCCATGCTTTCATTTGGGTTTCTCCCCAGATCTCTAACCCCCAGGATTTGTCTTTTTTATTTAGAAGGGCTTATAAACTTCTACTTTAATGTTCCTTAATGCTTTTCCATCACATAAACCTTGGTGGGGAGCAGCGTATTCAATCTAATAAGCTGATGTTGAAGTGCCTTCTCCAATGAGGAAGTGGCTCTGCAGGGCACCGTGAGAACATAGCAAGAAGAATCCACAGGCTCTTGGTCTGGTGAGAAACTTATGAGGAAATTTCAATAAGCAGCTGGAACAAGACCTGAAAAACCCTGCAGACTGACTGTTTAAGTCGCCAAGGAGGAAATAAGCCAACTCTGAGTGTGCATGGGAGAAACGGAATTGGGAAGCCTACGACAGGGACTCTGTCATAGAAGGGGCTTTCCATAAGAGCTGCAGGAAAGACTGGAGATGGGAAAATGAAGGACAAACAGGCTACAACATCCAAAGGACAACTGGGTGAGACTTACATAGGTAAAACAGGGAAGGTGCGGAGCCAGGAATAGTCAGAGCCACACCTGTAAACCTTGAGTCAAAGTGGACAAATCCTTGGGTACCATGTTGAAGAAGCGTTCGGAGGTGTACAAGTCAGTGGGAACTGTGATCCATGTTTCAGGAAGGTAACCAACAGCAGAACCAGGACTTGGGAGGTGAGAATCCAACAGGGAACCACTTAAGGGGCTTTTGCAATGTTTTGGCCAAATTGAATGTGGTCCTCAATGGGCCAACAGCTGGGTTAGTGAGAGAGGGGAAAAAGTGACAAGTTGGACATGCAACATTCTTAGGGGTCATCTTTGCAGTAGAGAAAACAGGGTCATGGTAATAGCAACCATTAGTTTTCTGCTGGATCTGTACTTAGTCATTTCGTAAGTTGTCAATAAATACTTGTGTGTGGTGCTTGGGATTGAATCCAGGGCTCTGTGCCTGCTAGGCAAGAGCAATAAATATTCGTTGAATGTGTTAATGAACTAGTTGATAAATTGAGTTATCTATTATTATTTACTACATGGGTTCATTCACTTCCTTTGAAGCCCTCCTGCCCCATCAATCACTATTCTGAGGGTCCACAGAGGGGTCAGTGTGTTCATAGACACACCACTCTCTGCTGCCCTGTGGCGTGGCCCTTCCACTTGCTTGTCTTTCTACCCTGGCTGGTCGCTCGAGCCTAGCAGGGAAGCAGCCCTGAGGCCTTGTGAGCAGGAAAGACTGCTGTAGGGTCCTGGTGGATACCACCTCCTGCAGGTGCTGCTCGAAGGTCCCAAGCCAAAGCTATGCCATGGAAGAGCTCATCACTGTCACCAGCCACCACACATGTTGTGGTTCTGCCATTGCCAACACTTCTGAGCACGTCTATGCCAATGTCACCCGGATATACCCTATACCCTGATATCAATCTGATGCAGTGGAAAGAATGTTTTTCCCCTACCTTCTACCACATTCTGTTACTTGGTCCCAAAATACTATGCTGGACTCTCCATGTCTCACAAGGGATTTTTCTCTCCACATGCTTCACGCACAAATCTACTGTGGTGTACAATTGTTATGGCTCACAACATGGACCTAGAGTACATCTTTTTCTATTTATAATCATATAAATATGAACTCATTATAATATATACCACTCAAAACATATCTAAGAACTGGGGCATTGTTAATAGAACCAAAGTTCATTGTTTGTCTTCTTTCTGCTAAAATGATTTTGTTTTACTTTGTTGCCTTTTGGTTTTGGTTAGGATGTATCCCCCAGTCTTAAGCTCCATTTCACATGTTTCCCAACTTAATGAGACATCTTAGAATTCCCCAGGCCAGTGGTGCTTTAGTCTCAAGTGGGGACAGTCAGTCCCAAGTATAAATGACATCGTAGAACTGATAAACTTTTGTGGCCACCCATACAGCTTTCCAAATCCTCTTTCTAGCTTGATAGCTAAGTCAATCCACTTTATACCTTTTCTCTACCTAATGGCTCCTGCCCACTCTTTTGTATAATTAATTCATCATAAAATTAATCTATAATTACACTTCTATGTGTCATTCTGTGCTCAGAGTGTATTTGTGAAAAGTCAAGTCGAAAAAAATATAGAGAGAAGGGCTTCGTCAGGTTTCCCTTCTTCCAAGTCATTTTTCAAGCCAGACATTCAGATAATGGGTAAGGCATTAACGAGAGTCCAGGCTATGTGGAAACTGCCATTTGGAGTCGCTACTTGTGATTGGACTGGTAAGGAGCATTTTAACAGCAAATGAGTTTATGGTTATCTCTAAAGGAAATGGAATTATTATTTTTTATCTTAAATATTGTAACTGTGTATTTTCCCTGTATTTTGCAAGCAAATAGATAAAAGAACACTTTCAGTAAGGGAAAAAAAAGTGCTCCTACTCCACTTCTTTCCTCCTTATAGAAAAGGACAAAAAGGTTCTGTGTACATTAGTGTGGCTGCCCTAGAGGAAAAAACAGATGTCAATGAATGTGGCAAAAGGATTTGTGTTAGAGACATTTCACAAAGGCAAGAGCCGATGGAAAGGATGGTCAAGTTGGGGAAAGGCAGAGAGAAGCTGGAGAAAGCAGGACTCAGGGCACCCCAAAATCACCCCTAGGTCTTAGGCATTCACACAGAATTTTAATCAGAAGGTTTCCCTTGTGAAAAAAAAAATGTAGGAATCCCTATAATTACCCCAAATACTAGACTCCTACATAGATATCAGCTAATGAAAACTTTTCTTTTCTTGAAAACAATTTTAAGCCAAAATTAGAAAATAATAAATCAAGCAATGATCAAAATTCATTCAAAATGCATCTGCATTCATATACGTCTGCCTATAGGCAGTCAGCTCAGCTTGGCCTGGGGATTATCAACCCAGTCCCCATCCAGGCAACCTGTAAAACCCAAGTCACTGGAAGCCATCTGGCTTTCCAGTTTGGCACCTAGCAGTCAGTAGCACAAATTCCTACATGTTTTCAGCATGCCAGCTAAAAACAGCCAGGTGTTGTTGTCCTAAATACATAGAGGATGCTATTTGGTGCACCTATCAATTAACTTCCTGCCTATAGTTCCATGGTGAAAGATAAACAGCTGAGCAAAATGGGACCAAATCAATACGCATTTGTCGAACCCTTGTTATGTGCAAGGCCATATGGGTGAACCAAAGAAATGTGCGTTTAAATTACTCCAAACCCATAAGAGAGATGAGAAAAAATAATTGGGAAAAGGAAGAAAAGAAAGATTTATAGCTCAATAAAGGAAGAGTTGTCTCAAAGCAGTGGCTGGTGAAGTTCCAGCTGAATATTAAGATTTTTAAGAGGAGTGACAAATCACTTCCAATTACACAGAAAAGAAAGGCTGGCTTATAGAGATGACAGAGCAGGAGCTGGCTAGGAGTGGAAAACCAGACTTAATAGGTGGAGAGGAAGAAGGAAGAGAGGGCACAGGACACGGTCTCCGATCATCCTGCATGAATTGATCCTCCACCTCCAGAAAAACATGACCCAATCTTTTCTAATTCCCTGATGGAAATAATAACACTATATCATAGGGCTGTTGTGAAGTATGCATGTGACAACACATCTGAAACTCTTAGAATAGAGCTTGAGACACCAATAGATGTTAGCCATTACTAGTATTTCAAGGTAGGCCAGGGAAAAGAGAAAACTTATTCAAGACACAGAAAGGAAAGTGTATTCCTACTGTGGGGCACCTAAGATCTTTCAAGGAGTTAATTCTTACCTTAGCTCTGATCTCATCTCCCTCCTGAGCTGGGCCCTTGCAGCTAGTCTCTCCTACGGTGAAAAGTGTATTCAAGATGGAAATTCAAGTTGAGACAGTAATGAACTTTGAAAAGTTTCCTTTTCAAATGACTTATATGGCATGGTTTTTAAAAAACGGTATTTCAGGAAGATATATCTGACAGCAGCTTATAGGATAAATTCCAGATGAAAACCCAGAGACAGGCCAATTAAATGGCTACAGGTATGGAATTTCATCTCTACTCAAAATTCTCAAACACACGCAGTCTTATTGAAAATTTTATCCATAATACATTACATTAATGAGTACAATAAGGATAACTCTCCAAAGCAACTTCAGTGGGCCACAGAAGGATAAGCTAAATGGGCTCCTCATTATCTCCAGCTAATAGGAAGAACCAAACCATGTTGCCCATCCTTTGCCAGGTATTGTGCTGGGTAAAGGGCTTGCCTGGGAGAAAGGAGTGATCAACCAAAGTGGCCAAGATGAGGTTCTGCTCCTGCATTTTGTCACCTCAAAGGCTGAAGGAAAACAGATAACTAACAGTTATTAGTCCAAGTCAAAGGGTTTATGCGAGGGGTCATGGGTCACAGGAGAGGGTAACTGCAAGGACAGGAGGGAGATGAGATCAGAGCTAAGGTGAGAATTTACTCCTTTAAAGATCTTAGGTGCCCCACATGGTCTGATCAAGTTCATTGGAGCACAAAGAAAAGGCTTCTCGAATGGCTAAGAAAGTCCAATCTGTATTATACATCATTCCTCTAAAATTCTACAATGCTTCAACCCTTTCTGTTTTTTTTTTTGTTGTTGTTGTTGTTGTTGTTTTGTTTTTGTTTTACTTTTTTGTGGGGGTCGGGGGGATACCAGGGATTAAACCCAGGGGCACTTAACCACTAAGCCACCTCCCCAGACCTTTTTATATTTTATTATATCATCACTAAGGAATGTAAACTTATAGCCTTAAATGGAAATGTCAAGAAACTTTCCTGCCCTTGAAAAGTTGCTTAGGCCCTCACTAAGGTGCTGAGACTGGTGTTGAATTTATGGACCCTCCTGCCTCAGCCTCCCAAGCCACTGGGATTATAGGGCTGTGCCACTGTTCCCAGCAAATAAATGGTTTTCTGAGCAAATATTTTTGAGCTCTTATAATGTTACAGGCATCTAAACATCTTATAATGTTCTAAGTATTTTTACATGTAACATTTAAGTTTATTCTTGAAATAACACTCCAAAAAATATTG